TCAATTTTAGTTTTGCGACGCTAACAATTATTATGATTCAGTGATTTTAAGTTTGAGAACCAAGTAATTTCTTCAATAATTATGTGAAATATGCTTTATTGTTTATGAAAAGAAAATATATTTTGTGTAAAAATAAATACATTTTTGTCAAAAAGTTTTTTTATTATAAATAATCCCAATAGTATTTGCAACTAACACAGGTACGTTTTTGGGTCCCAATGAACAAATTGACAGGTATCCCATGACTGTTGCAGGATGCGGACGGGGTCCATACAAAATCTCCCGTGTCCTTATATGTGCGACCACACGAGAAGCACCACCTTTTAAATAAAAAAATCATCAAAATCGGTTTACCTAGAAAACAGTTCTGTGGTAACACATAGTCAAATTGAGTCCTTTTTTTTAAGTCTGTTGAAAATTCATAAATCTGGTAAGTGGCTAGCTACTAGTCTAGGAATTTCTCTTAACTATTAATAATATTACTCTGTGCTAGTAATCAATACCCTAATAACTGTGAGACTGAGCACTGGGGTGATCCATATTTGCATTAAATTGAATTGAAACTAAAAATAAAGCGAGAAAAAGATATCGCTGTTTCTTCACAGTGTTTTAAATTTTTTTTATAGGAAAAGGGTGACAAACGAGCACACATTCCACCTGATGGTAAGTGGTTGCTGTGGCCCATAGACATCTACATCTACCCTCGATTACGAATCAAAATGCAAATGCGTGTGTGTCATCCGTGAGGATTAAGATGCAATGCCTCCTTACCAGTAAAAAGGGTTTCCGGTTCCCTACACTCACCATACGAAACAAAGCCGCTTTGAGCTGCTATTTTACGCTGGTATTCTGTGAGAGCGTGGCCCTTCCCTGTTCGAGCCGACCCATTCGTGCTACAACTATACTACTAATATAGCTGCAGTATGGATCTACCACGTACAAACAGTAAACGTTGTTTAGTTAGTAAACAATAACTAAACTACGTTTGTCACTAAATTAGGTCGCGCGCGATGAATAGCGTGCTACTAGATCTGCGTAAATAATGTTTTTAAACGTTAATGTAATATGTTTATGTTTTAAATGTACCAAAAGTGTATACCTAGTCAGGTCATAAGACCTGTCAAAAACTTTTTATAAAATTAATGATACACTTATTGGTATTTATATAGAAATTATATGCGAAATGAAAGTTAATTTAATTTAGAATACAGTTTTATTTACATTATTCAAAATTCCCTCCCTAATTTTGAATATATGCCCTTAATCGACGCGGCCAATCATTAATCGCAGCACGCACCACACTCATATCTATTTCTGCCGCTGCTTTAGCCAAAGATGTTCGGAGAGATTCCAAATTCTGATGCGGTTTAGCGCAGATTTTCTCCTCCAAATGTTGCCATATCTTATAATCCAGTGGGCTTAAATCTGGACTAGAAGAGAGTCAGTCTTCATATCCGATAAAGTCAATTCCATGGGCGGTCAACCAGTTTTGCGTGCTTCGCGCCCTATGAGCTGGTGCAGAGTCCTGTTGGATTATTCAATGTCTGTTTTTGAACATTGTTTGAGAAAGAGGTTCCACTATGTTTGTAGGACGGTATTTTGGTACACCTCGGCACTGGTTTTTACACATTTTTCACAGAAAAATACCTCATTTAAGCCTGAATATGACACTCCAAGCCAAACCATGAGTGACGAAGTATAATGTGCTCGTTGAACCCTCGGAATACGAGTGCTGGCTTCTTCACTGCTGTGGGCATATACCTTATCATTTTGTTTATTATAACTTTCTTTGATGTTAAAAAAACATCCGAGAACAAAATTTCGCGGTATTTTTTCCCGTGTACCACCGTAACAAAGCGTGGGATCTATCCAGCCTAATTTTTTTCAAACGCTCGTTCAAAAAAGATCCGGTATTCTTACGATAAGCTCGTAATCCTGGGTATTCATTGATCACTCATTTGACCTTGGTTTTGTTTAGGCCTATCTGAAGAGCTAAGATTTTTTGTTTACGAACAGGATTTCGTTGGATTCACGCCATCACTGCTTTGATGATCGCTGGTGTCCTAACTGTACGAGGTCGGCCCGTCCTCTTAAGATCTTCGAAGCTTTAATCATTTGTGAATCGTTTGATAGTGCGATAAACAAATCGTAGGGTTATTTTAAATTTTTGTAGAATATTGAAAATCTCTTTTGACGCGTAATCACAACGGTGCAACGCGGTAACCGCTACTCTATCTTCTTTCTTCGACCACTCCATATTTGAATATGAATGAAAATTAACGTCTTTTTTATTTTCAGCAAGTGCAAACGTTATATTTTTAAAATTGGTGAAGTTCATCTTGTAAGTGTTCAAAATTTTTAAATAATAAGGTTTTGACAGAACTTATGACTCGACTAAATATAATAGTGTATTTAAATAGTTAAACAATCAATATTTTTTTAAATACGCCTTTAGTTGATCTATAATTTACATTGGGGTTTAAATAACGTTCACGTCGATTATAGACAGTCGTAAACCTGAAAATATGAAAAAATGTTCACTGGTTTTTGGTTACTGCTTTATTTTATTTTAGTCTAAAATACGACTTATTACGAAATAATGTTCTTATATAGCACGCAGTCTATCCAACGAACGACATATAATGTAACGTGTTACGAGATTTAGGGTGCTGCAAAACTTTACACGATTGCCGGCCTGCCACACGCTTTCTTATAAATAGCGCCCTATAAAATAGCGTATTACTAACCAGCTCACTTAAAGCAAGTTGCAGGAAAAAGTTTATACCTAAGTACGTACTTCTATTTAGTTCACTTGATGTGTTCAAAAGCAAAATCCTCAAAATCAAAATTAAAATCATCAAAATCTCCCAAAACTTCGCAATGTGACGTATTAGCGTATTGTAAAGAAAAAAAAATATAAAAATGAAGATTCTGAAAGAAATGATAGAAGGGCTAGAATCCAGAGCCGTAAAGAAAGTTAAGAAAATGTGTAGAAGGTCTGTGATGCACTAAAATAAATACCTACACTACGTTTGTGATTATACTAGAATTATTTTGTGCGTGCAGTTTGGGTCATAAATCATCGAAGTATTTCGCTCTCTCTCCCACTCACGGGCCTTAGGGGCGAGCATAGTGATGCGCATTATTGTTGTCGATAAGCGTTATCCATAGTGTATTTAGTTTTTTCGTTATGTGGGTTATTGATAAAAATGAAAAAAGAAATGGATAAAACAGCGTATTTATTAAAATATAAATAAAAATGATTTAAAATAAATTATGTTAATTAGGTACTATGTATTAAAAAAACTATAAGTACAAATGTTTGGAATGTAACAAGTTGTATTAAAAATAAATATAAATATAATAACTTATATCTAAAATTAAATCTAAAACTATTTACATTAAAATTCTATATCAGAATCATCAGAGTCATCGTTATCCATGAATTACGATATCTTCTGCCAGAGGAGATTTCTTCAAGTCTTCCTCTTGGAGTTTTTCTGCATGCTTCTTACAATCTTCCCAGTTCTTTTGCGAAACGTTTGAAGTTGCTTCATACTTCATAACACTTCGACGTCTGCAATTTTAAAAGTGCTGTTTTTGGTGGTATCTTCATTTTTTACTTGAGCCCATACCAACTCAATTGGGTTATACTGGCAATGGTAAGCGAATCACTTCGTGTTCTGACTCCAAAGCTAACTGATTCAATTTGTATATTTTTTCTGCTCGGTTCCGTTGCACCTGTAAATATAATATTGTTTGTATATTCAACTAAATAGTTAAAAAAAGAAGAAAAATGTTAAAACATGTAATAATGGTTAGTGTTAGGCATGTAATAATGGAAAACAAATGACTCATGACATAACAATGTCGCACAAGCCTTTGTATACCGCACCGCGAGCCGTGTTTCCTTCCGCCGCCTTCGATGATTCATTTGTTGTTATCGATAATGGCGTTGCGCCCGCGCAACATGCTTACTGCCCTCGCTGGGCTGAGGCCGAGCTATGATTTATGATCCCAACTGCACGGACAAAATAATTTTACTGTAGTATCAAAAAGATAATGTAATCACCACGCTTAGTATGTTCATAATATGTTCTGTTGTTGAGTTTACGGCAGGAACTTGATCATTTATTCTGTTTTATAGTTTCAAAAATAATTGGAAGTCGATTTCGATACGTAAAAGTGATACGGTTTTGTGCATTAATTGTGAACTATTAGAGAAAACAACGAAACAAGTCCTTCGAAGTTGCTATAAGCCTCAAGGTATTTTGATCGCTTAGGCGCCTCACGCATCAGCATATTGTGGGGAAATAAAAACCTAGATCCTGAATAAGATGAATATATGACTTAAAAGACAAGCATCCATGTAAAAAATCTTAATTTAAAAAGTCTAATGTCAAACCACAGTGTCAAATGGTGTCAAACGTAACGTCAAAAATTAGGAATTGATCATAGTAGTCTGTGGAATTGATTTAAGAATGAAAATAATGAATCGTTTGTTCTTACAGATACAGTTTGTTTGCTGAGATTTAAAAATAAGAAAATGATTATAAATCATGACATTTTAACCAATAATTTGTACTAGTTTATTAGTTTAATTTATGAACTAACCATTTTTTACATTATGGATTAATTTTCATCAATGACTAATGTTGATGGCTCATACTAAGATGGATGTTTTAGATTCCCAAGTATTAGTAGACAACGTTTCCTTTCTTGACAATTGCTTTGATAATTCATTTACATTACATCATTCCTTGGTATCTGTTAAAGATTACTTTGCAGACACTCAAAATACCTTATCTACAATAAAAGATAATAAAAACATAATAAAGAGATCTATTTCATCTAGGAATTCTCTTTCAAATACTACAGATTTAAATATATGTACTCAAGCAATCGAGCATAATGGAGGCAGTAATATTCAAAAAAATCTAAAGAATTGGGGTTTACCACATGAAATTGTTAAGAAATATGAGCTTAAAGGAATAACTGAGATGTTTGATTGGCAAATATCCTGTCTTAGTAATTCAAATGTGTTGTTAGACTATCGCAATTTGGTTTATTCTGCGCCTACATCTGCAGGAAAAACTTTAGTGGCAGAAATTCTTACAATAAAAACAATTTTGGAGCGCCAGAAAAAGGTACTTATAATTTTGCCTTTTGTATCTATTGTAAGGGAAAAAATGTTTTACTTGCAAGATATACTTTCTAGTTCTGGGATAAGAGTAGAGGGTTTTATGGGCTCACAATCACCACCTGGTGGATTGCAAGCTGTCCATGTGGCTATTTGTACTATAGAAAAAGCAAACAGTTTAGTTAATCGACTTCTCGATGAAGGTAATATAACAGAATTAGGTGCCGTAGTTGTTGATGAATTACATCTATTGGGTGATTCAAGTCGTGGATATATACTGGAGCTTCTTCTAACTAAAATTAAGTATATGTTATTAAAAACATGTGACTTTAAAATTCAAATTATTGGAATGTCTGCTACTTTACCAAATTTGGAGGTGCTAGCAGCTTGGTTGGATGCCGAATTATTTGTTACGGATTTTCGGCCAATCCCCCTAGAGGAGTATTGTTTAGTTGGAAATAAATTTTATGATAAAAAAGGAAAATATTTAAGACCAATAGATGTGAACATTTGTGGTGCTGAAAAAGAAAATGAAAGTGTATTGAATATATGCTTGGATACAATAAGGGATGGATGTTCGGTTTTAATATTTTGCATGACAAAAAATAGGTGTGAAAACCTAGCACAAGGTATTGCTTCTTCTTTTTATAAATTGGGAACTACAGAAAGTGAAATGGGTAGCATTTTACGAACTCAGTTAAAGTCTGAAAGTATTGCAGAAGTTTTGGAACAACTGAAAAATTGTCCAGTTGGATTAGACAACATTCTCAAAAATATTGTGTCATTTGGAGTTGCTTACCACCATGCTGGTCTTACTTTTGATGAAAGAGATATCATTGAAGGTGCATTTAAATCTGGTGCTATTAGGATTCTAGTAGCAACATCAACATTAAGTTCTGGTGTTAATTTACCTGCCAGAAAAGTTATAATAAGATCACCTGTATTCCAAAGACAGCCAATAAATATTTTAACATATAAGCAAATGATAGGTAGAGCTGGAAGAATGGGAAGAGATATAAAAGGGGAAAGCATACTGATCTGTACAGAAAATGAGAAAAAAATAGGTCTAGAATTAATGTCAGGTATTTTAAATCCCGTCAAAAGCTGTATTGAAAGTGAAGATAAATATATGAGGGCTGTACTAGAAATTATTGCAAGTCAAGTAACATGTACACTAGTGGATTTGGAGCTATTTTCTAAATGTTCATTATTATTTAAACAAGGAGAAAAGTCTTCATCACAATTGTTATTACTTGAGAATACTCTGGATCAATTAAAAAATTATGAACTAATTAGACTGCAAAATTATGAAAATGAGGTTTATTATGTGGCAACTTCCTTAGGGAAAGCTTGCTTGTCATCATCTATGGCTCCTAATGATGGATTATCACTTTTCTGTGAACTGCAACGAGCACGTCAATGTATAGTGTTAGAAAATGATCTTCATCTTATATACTTAGTTACACCTTATAGTGTTAGCAATCAATGGAATGACATAGACTGGTTGCATTTATTAACATTATGGGAATCCTTAACAAAGTCCATGAAAAAAGTCGGAGAATTAGTTGGGGTTCAAGAAAGTTTTATAATTCAATGCTTGAGAGGAAGTAATAAGTCAAAAGTAAATCAGGCGAAATTAAATATTCATAAAAGGTATATTATGTCACAGCATATTCTAATGATTTTATTTAAATATTTTTTTTAAATGTTCAATATATCCAGGTTTTATACTGCATTAGCCTTGCAAGACTTGGTTAATGAAATACCTCTCTCAGAAGTTGCTGGAAAATTTCAATGTGCTAGAGGTTTTTTGCAGGGATTACAACAAGCAGCTGCAACATTTGCAGGTATATTGTTTTCTTTTTTACTATATTTGTTTTATTTAGCATTTTTAAAAAATTAAATTTTTTATTTTAGGTATGGTGACAGCATTTTGCCATCAACTGGGCTGGAAGAATTTAGAATTGTTAATATCCCAATTTCAGGATCGTCTGTACTTTGGAATACATTCAGAATTAATAGAATTGATGAAATTATCATCTTTAAATGGAGTAAGAGCCAGAGCTTTGTTTGATAGGGGATTTGAAACAATTTCAAGCATTGCATCTGCAGATGTGAACACTATTGAAAACATCCTACTTAAAGCTGTCCCATTTCAAAGTGAAAAAGAAAGAGATGGCGACGATGAAATAGATTTAAGGAAACGTAATAAGATTAAAAATATTTGGATTACTGGTAATTGTGGTGTGACTGCAAAGGAGGCGGCGCAAAATTTAATTCGTGAAGCAAGAAAATATTTAGAACAAGAGATTGGCGTAACAGAAATAAATTGGAAAAATATTGAGATCAAAAGCACATGCAATGATTTGAACTTAAATTCAGGTTACAAATCTCCGGTTAATGCGAAGGAAGAACATTATAGAGAAAGTAGTTTTTGTAATAATATTTTAAATAATGAAAGAAAAGAAACATTATTAAAGAAAGAAGATACTTTCAATCAAGATAAAATGATCATCGAAAATGTAACTAATGGAAAAGATAAGGAAAATGTTATCTGCATTGAAAATGGAAGTAGGTTAGTCAGTTATGAGAATAAAAAGAATGAAGTAAATATAAATAGCTGTGAATGTAAAGATCTTACTAATGAGTGTATTGATTCTTTGAATGAGAAGTACAAAGAAAACAAAGCTATTGAAATAAAAGACAGCCCTATGATTCATAACACTTTTAAAAGTGTAAGTGATAGCCCTTCTATACTAAAAAATGATGACATTGTATGGGAGTCCCTTAATTTTACCACAGCATTAGATAATATTTCAAAAAATCGTGCTTTAGCTAAAATAGAGTCTCCTGACATAAGTTTTGGTGATAATCAACTTAGTTTTAGTTATTTTGATAATGTTACTAACAAAAACTTGAAAAATACATCTGTTAAAGATATTAGTCTATTTTCATCTGATGGAAATAATTCTAGTTTGTTTGATGAAACTTTGCCGGTTGACCTTTTGCCAAATACAATTATTTGCGGAAAAGAGGAACAGTTGCAGAATTCTAAAACAAATAATTTGACCAATAATGTTACAATTGATTCACAATCTATATTAAATGCATTTACATCATCTCTCAAAGAAATTGAAGATGATGATGATATTATATTAGTATATGAAGAAGATAAAAAACCTGTTACGTTTAGTATGTCTCAAGAATTTGAAGTTATGAATACGCAAGAAATTAAAGCTGGGGACACCTTATATAATAGTCCTCTTAAACGACAAAGGGAGATAAATATTCATCAAACACTTCAACCATTAACAAAGAAAGCAAAAATACCCTCGAAACCTATTTCTCATATAATCCCGCTGAAATGTAAACAATCAAAAAATACTATTATAGGAATTAAAGAACAACTTATTTTTTGTTATATTTTAAGAGAAATTGATTTAATCGAATATTTAGATATAATCACGAGTAAAGGCGAGGTATCTTTATATTTAGACCTAAGGCCTCCAAAAGTTTCTAATGAAGTTATAGGAAGTAACTTCTTTGAAAAACCTCAAAGCGAGAATAAACAGAAAGTATCAAATGCGAAAGACCTAATTAAAGGTATTGCGATTTGTTTAAGTGAAAAGCTGTGTGTTTACTTAGATTTTACTTCTGTATATGATAAATTAACACAGGTTAAAGAAAAATTTCGACAGTGGTTGAAAACAGAATCATTAAACTTGAAGATTTTATCATTGAAGACCGATTATGTGCACTTGAAACACAGTTTTGGTATAAATATATCTTCTGATTGTATGGATTTATCATTATCAGAATGGCTCATTCACAGTGATGAAAAAATACCTGATATTAATTTCTTGGTAAGTACTTTACTTATAGTGTATCTAAAATTTCTGGTTTGGTTCTTGTTGAATTGGATATGTTTAAGTATCTAAAAAACTGTAATGCCTTGCGGTATTGATGTTAGAAAACTTCTCTTTATAAGTACCTAATCCTATTGATATTACAAAAGAAGACGGAATACCAGAAATACCCGAAACATCTTATGGTTTTTTTTAAGACTTAAAATATCCAAACCTGCGACGTCTATCCACGTGCCAAACGTGACGATTCTAGCAAATCTTTAAAACGTAGAAGGTCCATATCTGACTTTAAACTTAAGAGGATAGAGTAAGTCAGCTCAAATTCTAATTTCGCCCCCACTTCCCCGCGCGTCGTATGCTATGTACCGATATGTTTATAATCACTAATACTGTAAGTAGAAAGGTCGTTAGACACTTATTTCATTAGGTTTATTATATTTATGCCTGTTTCTTAACGCCAAGCCAGCCGCTTCTTATTTTTATCACGGTTATTTCCCGTTTTAAATTTACGTCGTCCTGTTGCGTAATGTATATTCTGATCGTAAGCGACACAACTTCTCCCTTCAAAAGCCTAAGCGATACTAACGGTGCGACAGGAATCAAGCTCAAGACGCCGATAGTTTAGGTAATTTCTTTTTTACAGTGAAAATAATGGTATCTTAAAAAAAGTAAATAACATAAGCACTGCTTTATAGTTAGTTCAGTTAGTATGCAAAGTTTCATGATCTTATTTAAAGTATTTTATGAATAACAGCGGTTTATTGTTTATTTTGGAGGTAACTTTGGATTTTTTTTCTATCCAGAAAATTTTACGAAATCGTGTTTTCGTCTAACATAATCATTAACATTAATCCTCAACTTTACCATACATTTATTTCAAAATTAATGCTGCAATATTTTCGGCATAACGAAGGATCTTGCTAAGCCATTTGACATTATATTTCCCCTTAAGCGGGCTGGTGAAGAAAAAGAAGATGATTTTTGTACTAATTTATAACTAGTCATCTGCTAATCGGGCGACAATTTTTTTTATTCGTCCTATAATCGGATGAATTTTTGGAAATGTCTATGGAAGTGTCTATTCATACGATAATCTAATGATTTTTATTTATTTATACGATTATCGTGTGATTTAGGTATTCTTTTTTATTAATCAGAAATTTTAAATTTAAAAAATAAATAAGATAATAAGAGATTTGAATCAATATACTCTGATACTTACTCGTATGATTAGGCTATTTGCGTTAAATAAAACATTACACCAATCTTGGAATATGGTTATCATCAGTACGTTGAGTTGCGGCCAAGGGGCCACCCCATAGCTGCGTAAATTATATTGATATAATCGCTAACCATAAATAAATTAGAATATAATATTGAAAGAATTGAACTTTTTAATTAAAAAAATATCGGACGAATAAGTATTTTTTTATTTACACGATATAAAACACTACATGGTGCGATAAGTACCCGCTTGTCATCAATTTTGACCCCGACTACGAACAATGTTGCCCACAGCGGATGACTAACATCGTCCAATTTTTTATTATTGATCTTTATAGACAAAAAAGTACTGTGACATCAACTTGTCTACCGTGTCCTTGAAGACTGGCGATGAGGAAATAACATTTCAAAGTTTAGATAGTACCGACAAGAAGTTATTTAAAGCTTGGTGCGTGTGGTGCGTCGCTGAAAAGCAAAGAAAATTTTTACTGGAACAATACAAAGGCGCAATTGATGTGGCAAGTGAGTATCCTATACCTTTAAATGAGTAATTCTTGTATATATATATACAATATATATATACATATTATAATCGGAATCTCGGAAACGGCTCTAACGATTTTCATAAAAGTTAGTGTCCAGCGGGTTTCGGGGGCAATAAATCAATCTAGCTAGCGGTCAACCAGGTACTATTTTATTGTGACACCAATTCTTGATAAATAAGGTGTCTTGTACATTTATGACACAAAAATCAATTTGCTTATTCTTAATTTTATTGATATATTATTAAACGGCTCGGCAGTACAGCGGCTATGGGTGGCGTGAAAAGGCCGCGGCATCGAATCCTGCATGGAACATGTATTTGTAGTTTGTATATACCCCACAGATAATTGTTTTGGGTATGAATGTTTGTCTATGCATTTTATGGACCTATGTAAAAAACCTCCACGACTCAGAAAAAATACACTACTATGAGTGTAACGTTTTAAAGGAGTATGAATGTAACGTTTTTATTACGTGGTAGAGCCATGCTGCAGTTACATTAGTAGTATAGTTGTAGCACGAATGGGTCGGCTCGACCGGGGAAGGACCACGCTCTCACAGAATACCAGCGTCAAATAGTAGCTTAATGCTGCGTGTATTTTTACTGGAAACAAGGCATTTCACGTAAGTCCTCACGGATGACAACGCATCTGCATTTTGATTCGTAATCGAGGATAGATGTAGATGTCCATGGGCCACAGCAACCACTTACCATCAAGTGGACTGTGTGCTCGTTTGTCACCCTTTCCTATTAAAAAAAGGAAAAAAAAAACGATAGTCGCTGCTCCTTGTCGCCGGTATTTGTATTTTAGTACTATCTTAATATAAGAGTTTTTTTATTCTACCGCTTATCGACGTGTACTGTTGGCTAAAGAGAATCGACTCCCCCATATCATCCCTTGGGTTTCGTAAGAAACGATAGAAAGTGAAACGGGAACTGCCTGATAATAACTCAAAATAATGGAACTCTGCGCTTGAAACTTGCTTGGGAAGCGTGGCAACTAATGCAAATATTCTCCTTATGAGTCTCAACTTTTGATAGGCGGCAATAAACTCTACGGCTGTATGGAAGGAAATGTGCTAATAGAAATGCAGTGAAAAATTAATTACAAGAGAATAAATCAGCCGAATTACGTTTGAATAGAGATTGGATCGGGAAGTGTTTACGAAATCTTATAAAAATAATCCCGCTCCAACTGGCTTCTACTTTCCGGAATGTGGCTATCTTTGGAGTACACAGACCGCCTTCAGTTGTTAATGGTTGAGATATTTCCGAACTTCAACTATGAGCGGTTCATTGAGTCCAGTACCAAAGCAGACGCAAAGAAACGATGTCCTAGCAAGAGTGCGGCTGTATTTTCATTCGGGGTAGGGTAAAAATTTAGAATCGTTTGGCAGGAGGGGGGAGGGAGAGTCCACTACACACCGACTCCACTTTCATGAAAAAGTTCTTGAGAAAAATTAAAAAAGAAATCCCATAGACATAACCTCCAAATAATAACATTTATCTTTCTCCGGCAAGGGTGTCCCCTATCACAACTGTAAGGGTTTCTGGGTCCTCATGTATTTCAGGGCGGTGAAAAAAAAATAACCACAGCGACTGTGGCGAGAGCGAAACGCAGTGCAGCTCCCGCCACAGCCTCCAACCTAACTCAACTAAAAAGATTTCTGGGTGTAAAGTGTGTAATAATCATTTCTTTATTTTTTGTAAATATAATTTATTATGAGAGTATAGACCACAGAAGAATAATAATAATGTGACACTAATTTATGACATCTTTTCGGTCTTACGTCCTTTTCACACTTACACAAAATGATGTATAGTATCCAGGTTTTACAGTAATATGATATACAGTATATCCTTTTTCCATGTTTTGCTCATTTTTAGGTTATAATAGTTTTTTATTTTCTCTGAAAAATTTTCCTTTTAATGCGAGTGGTATATGTTATAATCGGGGACCAAACCTCTAATACTATACCTTACTCCTTCAAATTCCTGAAAAACGATTCTAAATCCAACCCAACCAATCTTGTTGGCCCCAAGCAAAGGCGCAGAGTACCCAGTCTCTCGGTATTATACAGAGAGAAGAGTGTACGCAGTATTTACATGCTTTAATTCCTCCTCTCCTTTCCACCATCAGACAACCAGCCAGTCAGCGGGTCATCAATCCTTTGTTGTCGATATTCCATATTAGAACGAAACGGTTTGCTTCGTCTTTTTTAATACGTACAGCAAAGGAGTGGAATAATTTGCAGATTTTGTAATGAAGACTTCAATTTACCTTCTGAGTTCATCAAACCATGGTTACTCAATTTAAAGCGGGATCGACTCGGCGTGTTTATGACATTAGTACAGGTCAAGAATTTTTGATATATCAATAAAATCCAAAACGAAGCTCAGTCGATGGCTTGGCTGTTTCAAAATAACCAACGCCTACCAAAGTAAAGCAATTCAAAAGCGCAGGGAAGAATTTGCTCGCTATTTTTTCAGTTTGTTTGATTTTAAACTGATACCATATTCTCCATGCACCTGGTGTCAATTTCTTTACGAAATCGAACAACCATTTAGTAGTATGCCTTACTAGAACCAAGCATTTAGTAGTATGCCTTATGGTATACTACTAAATGCTTGCGGTAATCATGTGAGCAAAAACAACAAGCGACCGAGCACGAGACTACGGACTACTGTTCCGCCATGACATCGCAAAACAAGTGACATCCTGGACAGCACACCAGTGAAGCTGTGGGTCACACTCCTTACACCCCTGAGTTGGCGCCGTAGGTCTTCTTTTTACTCCCTAAAATGAAAAAAAAAATACCTGGAAGGGGATACAATTTTCATCGAAAGAAGTTGAGCTATCTTTCGAGCAGGCTATTTCTAGTCCGCCTCGTACACCTCGTATAAGCTGGACTAGAAAAAGTTTTTCGAAAATTGGTTCAGACGCATGAATCTTTGTATAGATGCTGTAGAGATGCTGTAGAGTCCTTATATAAGCTTTTTTTTGTGTTTCATGAGCCTTTCCAGTGGCCAACGTATTAATCTATTGTCATATTCCAAATCATATTTGCCTTTTCCTCTTCCTTATTTAGAATGTACCCGTTTACAATAATTAACATTATCATTGATAAGAAATATTGTATTTTAAATATGTGGATGACACTGACACTCATTGGTCATTACGAAAGACTGGTTTATATGCAACGTAAAAAGCCCAGCATACGTATGCAAATATGCAAGAAAATAGCTAAAACATGCACGAAAATTCCTAAAAAAGGCCAAAATATGCAACATGAAATAATAAAAAAGCAGTATTTTGAATTGTTTTTATTTTAAAAAGCTATTATTTATCAACGATAACAATCGTATTTGCGAAAACATCAAGTACAAAATATGTTTAACAATGTAATTTACAATGTATACGACTTAGTAAGTATTGTTCCAAATGTTCTGTAGACAAATTGCGTCTATGATCGCTTAATACATTTTTAAGCGGAAAAGTACTATTCTACGTCCACTGAGGTGACTGGACAGAATTAAAATTTGTGAGCCATGTTTAAACTTATTATGCCGGGCAAAATTTTAACGATGTTTTTATTTCGTGCGGGATTCGAATTCGTGGCACCCATAGTGCCTTAGATGAACGTTTAACTACTGCGATACCGAGCCGCCTTATGAAGATGTTTAAATAATAATGTTTTAAAAAAAGTACTGTCAGACACCATACTCGAATTTTGTGTACTTTGTGCATTATTTAATATTATCTATAAAATAATTAATAAATTACATTGTAGAGTCTATCTCATGATATATTATTTTAAAATTTGCCTTTACTATATTGTTTATTTTTACAGATATTGAAACGCATGTATCGAAAATTCTAGCGAATTGCGAGTACCACGGCCTCGTCGTTGATAGAGAACTAGCGTCAAAACTTTTGATCGATGTGAAAAATTCACAAGAAATCCTGCAAAAGAAAGCATATAAATTATGTGGATACCATTTCAATTTCAACTCCTCGAAGGACGTGGCGAAGGTGATGTGTTTATTTTCGTTTGTTTACCATGTATAGTACAAAAAGATTACGAATCAAAACTCCTAACATTCAGTATTTTGCTAGTACCAAATGTCTGACTTGGTGATGATTTTGATTTGTATATTAAAATTTTTAGGTGTTAGGAATATACAGAGGTAGAAAAGTGAGTACCAAGAAAAGCGTGCTCGCGGCACACAACAGTCAAATGGCGAGTATTGTTATATACTGGAGGAAATTAAATGCAATATTGACAAAAACGCTGTATCCTCTAACCGAGAAAGCTACCGTTTACAGTAAAGATAACAGGTATATAATGACATTTTTAGGTAATACATACTCGTAGGCATAGCATAATTAAAAAAATTAAACATAAACTAAGACTAGTATGTATAACAGTGCAAATACATATAATAATGTTGAAATTTATCACTAACGTGTATAAAGATTTTGAAATACACGAAGCAACGGGTAAACAGTAACATAAATGACATTGTTTCCAGAATAAACCCCTCATACACAATGCACACTTGCACCGGTCGTATAACTATGCGCGAGCCAAATCTGCAAAATGTCCCCAGAACATTCTCCATTCCCGTTAAATATCTAACGTTGACAAGCGAAAATGACAGCTGTTCAGATGTGATAGAGTTCAACTGTAGGAACGTATTCAAAGCGGCGCCGGGCTGCGTTTTTGTTTCGGCTGATTATTGTCAGTTGGAAATGAGGATTCTCACACATTACAGCTGTGACCCTGTTTTGACAAAGATTATGAAGTCCAATGTTGACGTTTTCAAAGCTATAGCGGCTTCATGGAGTTGCGTGCCAGAGGAAGAGGTAATAAATTTATCTACCTACATTTTTCTTTCGAATGTTGAACTTATTTGGTTAACCACATTTGTTTAATTGTTTTAGGTTGATGACGACCTTCGTCTAAAAGCAAAACAACTTTGTTACGGAATCTTATACGGAATGGGTAATAAAACACTGAGTCAACATTTAGACGTAACGGAATCAGAGGCAGCCGTTTTCATGGACTCCTTCTATAAAACATACCCGTCAATAAAGGTGTTTACACAATCGATCATAGACGCTTGCAGAAAACAAGGTTATGTCGAAACGCTCAAGAAACGCCGGAGATATTTGTCCGATATAAATAGTAATTTAGTTTTTAAGAGAAGTGAGTACTTATCATTCTTCTGAATTTTTTCTAAGTTGAGTATTTGTTTAATATACCATTTACCTTTTTATAGAATAAGGGTGACAAATTAGCACACAGTTAAGAATCAAAACGCAGATACGTTGTCACCCCTGGGGACTAAGATGGAATGCCTCGTTTCCAGTAAAAAAGGTTCTTCGGTTCTGTACACTCACCATACGAAACACAGTAGCATTGAGCTGTTATTTCACGCTGGTATTCTGTGAGAGCGTGGTCCTTCCCCGGTCGAGCCGACCCATTCGTACTACAACTATAATATAGCTGCAGCGTGGCTCTACCACGTACACGTACCTAATAATATTTCTCGGATTGCTTTTTATTTATTTATTTATCATTTAAAAGTTGAGTACGAAAGTTTTAGTAAAGTAGCATCTATAAACCACAAAAGTTTCTGTCTGGGAGTCGGTACTACCCTCATTTTCTTACTTATGCTGCCAAATAGCAGTGCTTGCACTGCCGTGTTCTGATCTGGAGAGTATAGGCAGGTAGTATAATTTCCGGCTTTAAGGCATCCCATCTTGATCCTCAAAGATGACAACGCATCTGTAGCCTTCTTCTTTGGCTGTAGGGGTTCATGGACCGCAGTAGCCTTACGATCAGGTGGACTGTAAGTTCACTTGTAACTAAAGTCCGATTTACACTTCGACAAGTACAGTAGCGAGTTAACTTGCGAGCCTGGCGAGTTAAGTAGAAAATCTCGTATGAAAGGCAATTAGTGAGTTAAGTAGCAAGTTAACAATTAAGTTCAACGGGATAGCCGGCCGGTCTATTTTTCGGCGAGTTAAGTTCGAAGTTTTGCCCTCCCGCCACCCGCAATTAAACTCGCCAATCGTGAGAACGAGCGAGTTTAGTTAAGTGCATAAGTTGACAGGACGCAACGTGTTAGCGTTCGACCGTCAAAATATAAAATTGTATTGTACTTTTTTTAACGCTACTCGCCACGTAAACGAACATCACTCCTTGTAATCTCCTCTGTACTTGTCGAAGTGTAAATAGGCTATAAAAAAAAAAGAAACTTCCCTTATTCTTACCAGCTTGCTACATAAACTCTTTAGATGTCATGGTAGTTTCGTGGTGCTAAGAAATTCTTACTTTCCTGTTTAGAAGTCCGTGTCTAAATGGACACCAATTTCGGTTGCAAATCAACAACGGCCAATGCATACTGGTGTGTTTTGGTTTGGAGGATGAGATAGACAGTGTTATTAAAATTAGTGTGGCTTTTCATTTTAGTCGTTACGTAACGATTCTGTATTCGTCTGTTGTTTGTCAGTTGGTTGCGGATGTTTACGAGCTGCAGTAACTTACGAGCATCTTGAATAAGTATTAGAATGTAGTTGCATAAAACTGTTACATTAAACTCAATATCAAAAATGATTATCATTTAGAAAATGTAATTTAATAATATAATGGCGGCGGGGGGTGCCATATGATATTGTATCATAAGCAATTACAGGTTTTCACGATGTTTTCCTTCACCGCGATGCAAATCAGCACATAAAATTGCAATTGAAAATTTTATTTGAGAATTGAACCCGGGTTGCTCGCGTATTGTGGAATTTCCTAACCCTTGAGCTAACTATATTAAATAGGAATATAGTATTATAATATTTTAATTAAAAAAGCGAAAGAAAATAATGAAAGCGTTCATTTAGGTGCAGCCGAGCGACAGGCAGTCAACACCACAATTCAGGGCTCCGCGGCGGACATTGCTAAAGCCGCTATGTGCGCTGTAGATAAGAAAATCGACCACTACGACTTTAAACCTCGTCTCATTTTACAAATGCACGATGAGCTGATATACGAATTGCCTGAAAGAGACAGCATACAGTTTGCCAAAGTTTTGAAGCAAGTGATGGAGGACACGGTATCTTTGAAAGTACCTTTGCCTGTCAAAATGAAATCAGGATATTCGTGGGGTAGTTTGAAGGAGATCAATGTAATGTAATTTATTTATTATTATGTATGATCATGAATAACGTGTTCTATATTACCGTCTGTGATATTTTAAAAGTTTTTTTCCTTAATTTGCTAATGGAATCGCCACAGTTACTAATTTTGTCAATGTATTGCCTATTGTCATAAATAAAGTTTTTTTAAGTAACATGGTTTAAAATTTATTTATAAAGTTTATAACAAAAAAATACGGCAGAAATGGTAACTTTTCTGGAGCAGGGCCTTAAGTTTGACCTGTCTTCGAACTTCACCGGTATCACTAAATCATAAAAAAACCTGGTGTGTTCTGCCATAGATAAATGTGAAAGCGTTCCGTTGTCCTGACATAAGACGAAGGAACTGACATTGGAACAATGGATTCTTAGTCGATGGAAATCTTCTCGTTTACACTTGCAGGGAAACAACCAAAAAAGGAGCAAACGGTTTACTTCGACGTTTTTTTTTCGTACAGTAAAGGAATGGAATTATTTGCCGGCGTCTATCTTTCCGTCCGAATACAATCTGGGCGTCTTCAAGGCAAGAGTGAATAGGCTTTCGTTACGCTAAGACAGTGCGATTTACCATCTAAGGCTGCATCACCACTTACCACCAGGTGGAACTGTGGTCAAGCACTGGCTTATAAAAAGTAAAAAAAGGGTTTTTTAAGGAAAATTTTAACAACATATAAATTATTCAATTGATAAATAATAATAAATCTTTTAATACTATCATCAATCAAAAAATTATAAATGTTACAACCAATTATTGTTTTTTTTTTATGTCTAAATATAATTCCTACAAAATAAAAAAATTATTAATGGAGTAACTACACTTAACTAACACTAACAGTTCTTCCTCGGTACTATCAATGGGTGTTCCTCAGAGCTCAGTTATTGGCTTCTTCCTTTTCTTACTTACTTTACTTATCTTCACGCACAATCCCTAACGGGGTAGCCAGAGAGAACAGATCGCCAAGTGTCACGATCCTTACATACCTCTTTCGCTTCTTTCAGGTTCATTAACTTCTTCATACATGCACGTCCAGGTATCCGAGTACTCTTGACCTTCCCCTCTTCGAGCAATTTGCTCACATGGTCTTCGAAAGTTAGTCTCGGTCTACCTCGACACCTTTTAATATTTACTTTCGCTCTATATATTTTCTTCACCATTCGGTCTTCACTCATTCGCTCAACGTGCCCAAACCATTGGAGTACGCCCCTATCAATTTTTGTGATAAGGTCATCTTTCAATCCTGCCATATTGCGAATCTCTTCGTTTCGCTTTCGATCGGCTATGGTAACGCCACACATTTTACGAAGAGATCGCATCTCCACTGCATTCAACTTGCTTTTATGCTTCTTCTGGCATACCCAGGTTTCGCTGCCATATAACAAAGTCGGTACCAACACTGCGTTATGTATTGCAAGGCGTGCACTTTACACCCTTTTGACTATCCGGCACCATGCTTTGTTGACCGCCGCCCCCACCCCACAAATTCTTAGTTTATATTAATGACTTTACTTGGTAGGGAATAAACTTGATATAGTTTTATTTGCCGATGATACTTTGTTGATTTTTACTACTTCAGAGTATTCATGACAATTTGCTGATAAAATAAATTAGTGATCTACAATTGTAGTCGAATAGCGGATTCTAACCTTTAACCTTAATTTCTGCTGTTCATACAGCCCTTAATTACTTACCATATGGCGGTGTAAAAACATCCACTAACCCATATCATTTCTTATCTGTCACAAGAGGTAACAGAGAGAGTCAAATCAGGAGATGGGATAGGCAGCTTCTTCCTAATAACGACTAAAAATAAAAAATAAACTTTGGTTGCCAACCCGCTTGCCAAGCTTGGCAACAATGGCAAATATCCCCCTATGAGGCAATCTATGGGGGAGGCCTATGTTCAGGAGTAGAATTTAATTGACTGTAATGGTAAGTGGTAACGATACATTAATTCAAATGTCTACATTCGATTTTTTTATTTTCCCCTTGATAGATTTTCACGAAATACCCAGACGGAATGGTGCAAGCAATTCTCTAACATCGTAATATAACCATATCGTTATGACATTTTGATCTAATAAGATATCTAAGGTCCTTTTTACCGATTTCAAAAAGGAGAAGGTATTCAATTCGACTATATGTTCTTTTTTTTGTTACCTCATAACTTCTCTGGGTGAACCGATTTTGATGATTCTTTTTTTACCTAAAAGCTGGCGCTTCTCGTGTGGTCCCATATAAATTTAATTAAGATCTAACCAGTAGTATTTGAGTTATCTTTAATCTTTAATTATGTGTATTTGACTTCGAATACAATTGAGTCAGTCGTATTGAAGTCGGTTGTACAATTTTTTTTATTTTACCACTTGTTTGCTTATAGTTTCGTCAGAGTAGGTATCGCCATTTGCAAGATAGAGTAACCCTGCTGTGAAATGACAGCATAATTTTGATGTTTTGTAGGGTGAGTAACCAGAACCGTAGACACTTTACTGGTATTTAGTTATTCCATCTTTGTTTTAGGGGTGACAACGTATCTAAGTACATTCTGACTGTTGAAATCTGATGCAAAAATATCGATGTTGTCACCAATAGTCAATCAATCAATATGTCATCAATTAATTCCTACAGTACTTGGCGCCTTGATTAAACATTTTCTCCTATGGCTGTCATCCGGAGCTTTGCAGCCTCGATTAAGAATATATGCGCCATATGCTTGAACTTTTTAGACTGAGCGCATTTGGTGTTGAACCAGCGATTACGTGATATACAGCATCTAGGTGCACCATTTTCTCTTTTGAGTTGCACAACTCGAACGGCGAAGAAAATCAATCGTAAGATTATACACATCGAGATACCTTAAAGACAAACCTAAACATCAAGTCCATTAAGTATCTAAGATGTTCATATAATAAGTGCTGCGATCGCCATTCGAGTCCGATTACGGATAATTGGTTTAACTTGAAGGAGAACTATGTTCTACAGTAGATTGTTACTGGCTAAAGAGAAAAAAATCAAGCAAATAAAGGTTTGTTTTTATAACAATAAATGTGGGAATGGCTGGATCATTCGCACACGCGAAGAAATATTTGAATATGTTAAATTAACTATGTACATGTGATATGTACATAGTTAATTTAAAGATACATCTTTATTATTTGCATTACAAAGTACCTACCAGTACTTCAAATTAACGTTACTCTGCTGTCATGACTGATAAACGCCTGAAATACAACACATTGTGAACATCACGCTTGTGTAGTTGACGCTTGCTAAAACTAATTAAATTATATTTAATTTATGCCTTGATTTTGCTGCAATGTCATATTTCGAAACTTTTAACTTTTAAAATTGAGGAAAAATTAGTGACTACCGCCTGGAGCCGCTAGGCTATAAATGCCGACTTTACTTTTCCGAAATGACACCCCCTAAAATCTGCCGTCCGGGGCCATGTCCCTGTAGCTCCCGTGTTGATTGATGAATTTAAAAAAATATACCTAGTAGGCGAAACTACCACATTCCATAGCGGTCCAAAAATATTTATAAATGACATAACATTTCCATCCATCGGTTTGCTGCATGTCTTACCATGTCATGAGTCCATCTAGTGGCAGGACGCTCTATACAAAAGTACGGTAAGCGTACACCGGTATAAGGCTGCCTCTCGAGAACCTTTCTTCCCCATAGGTTGTCGGTTCCTCGACCTACATGGTTACTGCTACTCCTATATTCTTATTTTGAATTTTAGCACGCAGAGACACTCCGACCTTAAACGACTCCATAGTTCGCTGAGCGACCTTTAGCTTCGTCATACGATCAGCGCTGAAGAACTACGTCTGAGATCCATATGTCACCACTGGCAACACGCATTGGTTGTACACTCTTGTTTTGAAGTTTTGAAGAACGAACGAATTTGACGAGATAATGTGTCGTAAATGAGTGCAGATGGTACAAAATCGTGTTTTGTTTCATCCTTTGGAGGAAGCCTATGTTCAGCAGTGGACCTGTGAGAGCTGTAATGACAAGAAAAAGAATGGAGAACAATTTAAAAAAAAATTCGGCTTCACTTGTGAATATTTCTGTTAATATGATCGGCGAAATATATTCAACATAATATGATATCGTTCTGTTAATCTAGTCAGTTAACAGTATTACTAAAAAGAAAAAATAAATTATGTACGCGCAACGGACAGTTATGTTGAACATACGAGTAGATATAATAAATCACTTTTTTCCTGTTCTGATTCGATTATTTAATTGGGATCTTTTAAGAGGAATTTATTAGATGAAATATATGCTTGTACTTTTAAAAGAACATTGGGAGTTAATTCCTTTTAAATTAATTCGTTCAGAAGATAACTTCAAAAACAGGAGGAAATTTGTAATTCGCGTTTATATTTTCTTTGAATGTATGTTACACGATAACTACATCAATAATTGTGAACCAATTTTAATGATTATTTCATTAAATAAGTAGGTTATACTCCAGGGGTGGAATATGAAGTAAAAATTTAGGGTGAAAAAATAGGGAATGAGATTTTAATGTAACTACATATTTAGATGACATTCCAGCTTGTGATATCCTTGAGTCCGCTCAAAAGGTAAAAAATTAGACTTAATAAACAGTAAAGCCAACTTCAAATATCTAAAAAGAATAAAATAATATCCTCATAACAGCTTCAGAAGTTGGTGCTGGGATATAGTATATAGATAGACAAGTATTAAAGTGGATAAGCGGTGCAAAATGTTAGAAGTATTATGGACCTCACACACGGTCAGTTAAGGTCATCAGTTGAACTGATTTCAGTTCGAACGGATTTAAGCCAATGAAATTTCCACACACACGGTCAGTTCAACTGATCAGTTCAAGCTAGGACTGTGAATTTTTTTAAAATATCGTATATTTGATATATCAATAATTATAAATATATCGATATTGGAGTTTTATATATCGTAGTTAATATACAGTAAGTCAATATCGGAATTTTATATATCGAAAAAAAATATCGATATATCGACTTTATTTAAAAAAAAAACAATCCTGTCATTTAATTTAGTTCATTTATTTTATTTATTAAGCAAATTAAATTATAAATGTATGAAAATGTTATATTATAGTTCCTATTAAATATTGTTTAATTTAAATAAGACGATTATGTGTAGATACCAATACTTTTTAGTAAGTTTTCGAAAATACTCGTTGTTTTATATGTTCAGCTGTTTGATATGTTTAGACGCACAGGTGCTACAGATGTAGCCAAAGAAATCAAATATTTAACAGCTATTTCTGATAGTAGGGGAGTTAACTGTCTACCCAGCGGACAGTCGATAACGACAGTAACTCAAGTTCATAAGACGCCTAACCGAAGAAAATAACTTGTAGTTTATATTTAACATCGAAACACTTGTTTCGTCGTTTTCTCTATTAGTTCACATGCGTGAACACTTAATACAAAAAATCGCATCACTTTTAAGTATCAAAATCCACTTCAAACTATTATTTAAACGAAAAACAGAAGAAAAAATTCGTCGACGGTCAAGTTTCTGCCAAAACACACAGTTAGTAAAGTAGTTATAAGTTTCGTACATTAAAGTAATTTTAATACCACAGAGATATACTATACAAAATTACATTTCTTTTGAAGATAAGCAAATAAATAAACTGAGGAAAAATTAAAAACATAAAATAAAGTACAGTAGATTGGGTAGATTAAATGATTAACGAGAAAAAATAAAAAATAAAAACCTTTTATTGAAAAAAATATCGACTGACGATATTCATATTTCAACGCTTAGCCCACCGTGCGACCATCATATGGTTGCGTCATCGAACGAACGCGCTAATGCTGGTGCTACACTAACGGAAAACGTTAATGCAAATAAACGCAGCAATTATTGCTTTAACGATGAATTTAATGACGCTCAATGTCATTAAATTTCAATGCCATCAAACGGCGTCAAAAGTTGGCGTTAATGTTATTTGAAGACTTTTTATACTTGTTAAAAATGGTCATTGGGCTTTCCTTAGTCTTTCTAATTGATCGATAGTTGTTTTAAAAGATAATAATTGGATAATTCTTAATTCGATTTTAAAAAAAAGTTTAGAATCAAAAATAATTATTTGATATGTTTGATAATCAAATATTTTGTTTTATAAAATAATACATTTTTCGTATTGTATTAAGTTACATAAACCATACAGGTTACACACTATATTTAGTTAAGTTTTCTTTATTTTTCTTGTGTTTTATCCCCTCTTTGGGGGGGGGGAGGGCATAAATTATAATTTTTAGATAAGAAGTGTCACAGATAAAATTGTGTTACTCTTATAAATTAAAAATAATGAAAATATAAAAATAGTGCCGTCACTGAGATCCTATCACACCTTCAGATTGTACCATCAGAAAGGTGAGATGATAACTGTCAGCTAGGTCTTTATGAGCCATTTCAATCAAATGAGGTCAAACACGATCATCCTATCTAGTGCCGTCACTCAGATCCTATACTTACCTTCGGAGTCCACCATCATCAGGTAGGTGAGATCATTACAGGCACCTTGTTATTTAAATGAGTCTAAAAACGATGGTTCTACGTAGTGCCATAACTGAGATCCTTTACCCAGATATTGAGTCCGCCATCGGGAATGTGAGATTTTAATCAAATTTGCACACCGTATGCAGTTTGGTCCAACTTGAGAGATAGGATAGTTTTTTTGCCCATGAGTGACCCACATTTTTTTGCAAATTTAAGGATTTTTAATAGGACTTGACAAAGGGTCGTCGAAAAAGGCAGAACAACGTCTGCCTGGCAAACTAGTACTATAATATAATAATTAATATTTTAACAAAATATTATATAATTACCTTCTTGACGACTACTTATAAAACTATAGTTATCATTTCCTTAAATGTTAATTACTTTCATTCAATGTGGTTAATTCACTCAATAAACTAATATTAAATAGGCAATGGTTTAAACTCAGGTCTTTCTATTAACATTCGAAGTTAACCTTAAAACATCTCAGATACTTTATAATTTACCTACTGTAGATGAAATTACAGCTTTATACATTATACACACGAAGTAAGAATCACGCTGCAGCTTTATTATGGTTGTAGCATGAACGGGTCGCCTTGACCGAGGAATGACCACGCTGGGTTGTGCATATGAGATGGATGAGAATATAGAACGGAGACCCCCTTTACTAAATACGAGGCATTCCATCTTAGTCCTCAGGGGTAACAACGCATCTGCATTTTGATTCTTAATCGACGATAAATAAAGATGTCTATGGACCTCAGCATCAACTTACCATAAGGATATATATACTGGATGACCTTATTTACCGTCTGGAAAAAAACTAGGGTGTAACATGTGAACGGAGTAGAAGCCTATGGCTGCCGTAGTGTGTCACTGATATTTTGCAAAAAAATAAATACAAACATTTTGAATTAAATAATTGAAATCTATCGAAATTCAAATCATATCCACCCTAGTCTGTGACACTGGAAGTGACAAGATCAAAGATTCCTACTATTTAATTATTTATTTTCTTAATTGAAAATTTTTATTTTTATTTTTGTAAAATATCAGTGCCATAGGTTTTACTCCGTTTATATAGATGTGTATATATACGACGTGTGTTACGGCATAGAAAAACATGGTGAGGAAACCTACCTACATGACTGAGTAATAACAATTTTCGGAAACATATGAACTCCACAAACATGCACTAGAGCACCGCGGCAAACTAATAGCTTCATATCCCTCCAATTTGTGGTGACCTGCACCCGGTCGTGACACGTATATAACTTGTATCTAATTTTACTGACATTTTTATCATTAAAAAATTTGGTTTCGAAATAAAATAAAAACGAACCTATGACAAAACCACATAGAAATTACATACTCGTATACGTTTTAATTTTTATGTCACATTCAACCTTTCGAATGTATCGGGAGCTTATGTCGTAAAATCGAAGATGAACTAGAATGCAATGTTAGAGAAACAGAGATACGAGTATTCGCAACAAAACCAGAAGAATCGTAACCAAATCTTGTATTTTGCACAAACTGTTATCTTCTACTGAGATTCGAACCCAGAAATTGCGGCGTAGTAGCCATGTACTCTAACCACTAGACCATGAGGTTGTCATATGATGAATAGACCTATAGTTAGATATTTAATAACTATCCGTGCTAAAGAGCCAAAGCTGCAGCTCAAGGCCGAACAACTAGAGTTCGATTCCTGCTTGGACCAGGTAAAATTTTTTATGATTTATGTATTTATTTAATACACGTACTCAGCGGTAAAGATAAGAAAAACATCGTTAAGAAAAAAGTACTGCATGTAAATAAAAAGAATTATTTCCTGAACATGTGAAGTTTTGAAAACAGACAATTTGTTCTCTCATACATAAGAGGCGTTACAACTCATACCTAATATTAATATTATAAGTATATATCCTACAGTCAAAAATTTATCTAACTGCTGTCTAAAAGTTATATTATCATAGTAAATATACTAGGAACATACTTTTAGATGATTTCTTGTCTAAAAGCTTAAAGGAATGATAGACATAAGTTGGATATAGGTGTAAGTATTTTAATATTGCTTTTCTACTCTCTTATTAACTTAAAAGCGTTTCTAACCAAGTTGTAGAACGAAAATCAGTTTGAATCTAATCTTAGCGCCATCTCCGTGCGGTTTCCGAGGGTTTCCCGAATTTTCAGCGGCTACAGGCGACGTCAGAGGGCGCGGGGTGCGCCCCGCAGCCTTGCGCACAATCAATATCCACGATGCGCGCCGATGGTGGAGCCTTGCTTGTCACCCTGTCAAGACAACCGAGCCGCCACCGTCGTACACACGCCGCGCTTACTACACAACCTGACAGAACTGAGTGGCGTATTCCCATGTTACTTATCATAAGATGTACCTGCTGATCAAGTCAAACAATTTTTCTAAGTTCGTTAACACAATCCCCAGTTGTCTCGTACTCGTGCACACGTTTCTTACGATGTCTCAAGTCGTACAGGTGTAGACCCTACGCGAAAATGCATCTTCATTTCGAGCGGAATATTAACGCGAAATGCGACTGTACTATACTGTCGCTGTCATGGATGGGAAAGGTGCCCGACGAGCTGCCCGAGGTTAGTTACTTATTTAAAACTAAATGCACTTACCATTTATTCTTGTGAGACTTAAAATCGAATTCGAATGAAATACGAATTATTTTACAGTTATCGATTGAAGAAAACCAATTTCCATTAAAATTAAAAAGATGTAAGCTTTTGACAGACATTTGTATTCGTGTCAAATGCTACTAAGCAATTTATTAACTTGTTGTTTATTAAACATAATACAAATCCATAGACTTATTACACTACTTCTATATCAATGTACAAAACATAACAAATTCTGTTTCAGTTTTCGTTTGAGATAGAATAATATCCTTTCGTCATTGAATATTTATTATTTGAATTTCATTTAAGAACATAACATGCTTATCCTAAGTTCCATGGTTTTGTCCACGTATTTGTGAAATCCAATGCAACGAGGAAAACTGTTGTGTTTGTTTAATATTGATGATGATATTTGGTCAGGTTTTGTGAATTTCTCGTTGACAAACTTCATAAGTCACACAGAGTCACTGTTCAACTGTCTTAGAAAAATATCCAACTGTTGAACTAACTGTCTCTGTGACTGCTTCCTTGGTCTGGTGGTCGTAGGTGCAGCTGCTTATCATGCATTCCCGGACCCAAAGCCCGGGTCGGGTAATAATCAGTTGCCCGTTATCAGGAAATTAGCGGTGTTTCACCCCCGTGCGTCGGAAAGCACGTAAAGCCGTTGGTAGTGCGCGTGATCTCTCTCTCTCTCTGGTCGTTAAGTATTGCCGTCAGATCGGACTAATAGAGGGAACATAGAAGTGCACTATAATCCTGTCCTGCACAATTTCTTGTGACATTAATAAACTGTGTATCAGTTTTGGTTTATAGAGTCAAAATCAAACAACAAAATTACGAGAAGCGACGGCTTCAACCAGCAGTGGGGTGCAAGGGAAATTCCTAATTACCCTTGCACCCACTGCATTGCACTTTGCGCTTAATTGCATTAATAACTTTATAATATTAAGTATACTACTATCATGCGCGGCTCGGTCTACATAGAACTTAAATAGACATAACTGCAGTTCTATAATAGTGGTCTTTGGGCAAGTAGTTTAATTATTGAAAAAGCTCGTCCTCCACTGAGATAATAATACTATTATCTCAAAAACTATGTGAAAAATGTTTTTAAATAATTATAACTTCTAACAAAAAGTAAAAACTGACTTCAAATTACTAAAAATAAATTATTTACCCTTAGGGGTGGAATTTTTTCTTCAAATTTAAGAGATAAAAAATAGAATCATCAAAATTTGTTGACAATCTGCAAAGATATCGCGTAACATTAATATAAAAAAAACATTTGAAGTCGGTTAATAAAAATGAAGATCTATTCATTTTACGTACGTACACTCATATATAAGGATAAGGGTTTTGTTGGAGACTCTTTATCATACGTGTCACTTATAGGTGAGATAATCATCAACAACAATTTTTATTTTTTTATATAATTTTTTTTATTTCACAAAAAATCTTCTCATCACTCTTTCTACCCGCGACTCTGTCCCCAAGGAACCTATACAAAAGAAACCTGATCTTCTATAATAACAGTGGTCTCATAGGCAAGTATTTCAATCACAGAGCAAGGAATCGGTTACTTTACTCATGTGGTTCAAAGTTCAAAAAACTACTTCGATACGTATGGGAAATGCTTAAAGTAAAAATTTAACATAAAAAGGTTGTACCGCCTCATCTTTCAACACCATTATAGTATATCAATGTTTAACACTCATTGCTTTGTTAAAAATAGTACTAAAGTAAAAATTAAGAAAAAATCGTTTTTGCTTAAAGAGAGAGAGAGAGAGAGAGAGTGAGTAGGGAACTTTTTTGTATAAAATAGTTTTAATAAGTAGATATGAAGTACTTAAAACAAATTACCTAGTAGCACTTTTTATTCACTTCAGAAGCGGATCACAATGATTATATACTATACTTAAACCTTCTCACAAATGAGGGGAGGCCCGTGCCCAGCAGTGGAAGGTATATAGGCTGTAACTTTACTTTACTTTTATACTTTACTTAATGTAAATGATAACAGCTACTAGCAGAGCGACTCACTTCCTGACAGTAGTAAACTCACAGCTGAACCGCCTGTGAGTTTTTTTGCGCCCAGAAGCAAAGAAAGGGCTACCCTCCGGGAAGCGTGGGAGGGAGGTGGTGAATGCTCTAAGCATACCACGCAGCCGGCTGCGTGGTTATGTGGGACTCACCGAGAAACCTCAGTGCCTTACCCACTAAACACCACCTGTAAGACTGGCTTTATCCTGGTAGGATCTTCTGTGAGATATAGCAGCCAGCACCTTTTATAGTGTACAACGCTCTTAGGCATTCATTACACACTCATGCAGGCTTCAATCAATTCCACCAATCCTGATTGCTAAAAAACGGATGGTGACTGATAGGCGTACATTACGCGCTCATGCAGGCGTCAATCACTGCATTACACGGTAGGTTATTCGTCAATCACAACCGTGATTGTTGTAAAACTGACAGCCTGCATGAGCGTGTAATGTACGCCTTACGATTACCCATTATTTTTACCTATGTTGCTCTGTGTACATTACACACATTATTGCGCCTGCCTAATTTTGAAGTATGCGTACACGTAATAATTATGTATATATAATAATTTATTAAATAGGTGTCGATGGTTTCAAATCCATTGGTAACATTCGGCCATCGTGATTTAGACGCGTCCCGCGGCGCTCATTATACGAGGGCGGCACTAAAAATTTCGGGAATCAAGGAAGTGACACAACATTATATTTAAAAATGTATTTATTGCTTTTCGAAGTATTCTCCGCGAAATTTGACACATTTTTCTATACGATGAACCAATCATTTAAGCAACCATTCCATTCGGAAGTTGGGGTCTCCAAAATGGTCGTTTTGTAGGCGTCCACAGCTTCTTCAGGTGATGAAAATCTCTGTCCACGCAATTTATTCTTTATTTTAGGGAAAGTATAGAAATCATTAGGGCTTAGGTCGGGGCTGTACGGCGGATGGTCTAATAATTCTATGTTTTCTTGCTCTAAAAACTCTTTTGTTCTGTGTGCGGTGTGAGAACTCGCATTGTCGTAATGGAGGATGATGCGGCGGTTGCAGTTCTCTTTACGGAGTTCAGAAACGACCTGTGGCAAACAAATGCTAGCATACCATTCTGCATTAATAGTTCTTCAAGAGGAATAATCGTAACATGGCCGGTTTTGGAGACAAACGTGGCCACCATCACTCCGTGAACGAACAATTTTTGTTGGCTTTAACTCATTTTCGAACACCCAAACTCGTGACTAGTTTTTTGTGATTTTTGAGAATCCTGCGTGGAATCTTTCGAGAGTTCTGACGCACCAAGTAACGCGAGCCGCTTTTTTGCTCTTTACAGAGCGAATGCGGTATCCATCGGGAAAACAACTTTTTTTACACCTAATTGTTCATGCAAGATTATTTGTATTTGACTCATGCCAATGTCTAAAGTTGCCTGAATTTCGCGGTATATCACATGTCGATCTCCCTCAATCAGCTTACGCACAGCATCAACGTTTTCTTGGGTGACTGCAGTTTTTGGACGACCTAGACGGGGATCATCACTGAGCATGACACGTCCACGTTGAAATTCAGCAAACCAGCGATAAATTGTTGTTTTGGATGGGGCTTCATCACCAAATGCAGAAATCATCCGGTCAACACACTGTTTTTGTGTTAAACCACTTCGAAAGTCATAATAAATCATCGCTCTTGAATTTTCTCGAGTCAATTCCATTTTCTCAACGACTAAACAAGTTTGACAAAACCTTGTGACAAGACCGAGAATCTTTTTTTAAATAAATAAATGGTATTTGATTTTTAAAACTAAGGAGTTTTCAATTAAAAAGATTTTAATATGTCAGGAACAGTGGAAATATTCCATTCCCGATATTTTTAGTGCAGCCGACACTCACCGCAGCGTTGCTGGCAGTCCTTCCTTTAGTGTCTTCGTCGTCGACACACGTAGTCTTGGGAACGAGTTGACGGCGACCCGAAGTAATTTGTGTATTTTTTCTCCAGTAAAAGTTCCGTGGTGTATACATGGACGTCTCCATGCGTGTAAAGTTTTCTAGAGGTGACAGATAACCGAAATAAAGTTGTTCGGGCGTATCACAATTGTAAGCTTTAGCATTCGCTCTTAATTTAGATGGTAAACCTCGAATAGTATAGGAGATTGTGTGTTCACCATTAATGTTGCATTTTTTCATGAGTGAATATTTTTCATGATACACGTAGTCGGTAGATCGAGGAAAAGCTGGTTGTAGTGCTTTCTTCCACCCGTCTCAAGTAAGGGCATAATCGTCAAGGACATCATATCACTCCTGAGGAGATCCTGCGAGACGTAGTTGTATTATAAATTAAGTTTGAAGTTTTAATAAGTAGACATGAAGTAAAACAGATTACCTAGTAGCAGTTTTTATTCACTTGATTAACGAATGACAATATTTATTAAATTATATATTATAATTTACTTAATGTAAAGGCTCACTTGCAAACAATTAACACACAACTGAACCACCACTAAGCGATATTATAGCAGTACCTTTTATAGAGTACAACGCTGTTCGATTACCCACAAATCTTATTATTTTTACCTGTTTTGCTCTATGGTTTCATGATTTATTAACTTCGAAGTATGTGTACACCTAATAATCATGTATATATAATAATTTATTATATAGGTGTCGATGGTTTGAAATCCATTGGTAACATTAGTGAACCAAAAAAAAAAAATTAATCACCAAAATCCATCATAAAATATCATCCTTGTTTTTAGCATAAAATATAGCCCAGATCACTCCTGAATTACTTCCTTTCTGTGAGAAATGGTACAATTTCAGGATTATTTATATGCATCAAAGATGTTTTAAATACATTTTTTATATAATTAGGATGACAAACGAGCACACAGTTCATCTGATGGTAATGAATCTGTGTCCTGTAGATATCTACATTTATCC